TACACCCCGTGCACCCTCTATGCATTGCCACTGGAACCAGATGAAGTTCAACATTAAGAAATGTAAAGTGCTCCACCTGTGGACAAACAATCCCCTGCACACCTGAAGGCTTGGCAACACCAATCTGACAAACACTACGAATGAAAGGGAACTGGGGGTAATAACAGACCACAGTATGAACATGAGCTGGCAGTACAATGCTGTAGCCAGCAGGGCTAATAATACCCTGGCATGCATCAATCAGTGCATCTCTAGCAAAACCAAGGAAGTTATTCTTCCACTCTACACAGCACTAGTGAGACCACAGCTGGAGTACTGTGTCCAGTTCTGGGTGCTACACTTTAACAAGGACATGGCAAAGATTGAGAGAGTCCAGAGAAGGGCCACCTGTATGATCAGCAAGCTATACAAGGAAAGGCTGAGGGACCTGGGACTCTTCAGCCTGAAAAAGAGAAGGCTGAGAGGGGACTTGGTAGCAGCTTACCGGTACATCAGGGGCATATGTCAAGGGGTTGGCGAACAACTGTTCACCAGGGCACCCTTGGGGAAAACTAGGAGTAATGGTCACAAACTCCTTGAAGACTGTTTCAGGCTCAACATTAGGAAAAACTTCTTCACACCCAGGATGTCCAGAAGGGAATAAGCTCCCTCCTGAGGTGGTGCAATCACCTACCCTGGAAATCTTCAAGAGGAGACTGGATGGTCACCTTGCTGGGGTCACCTGACCCCAGTTGTCTTTCCTGCTTGGTGCAGGGTGCTGGACCTGATGATCTTCCAAGGTCCCTTCCAGCCCTGCAATCTATGAATCTCACATGCACCCTTCTCAGTATTTCACAATACTTTTCTCTTTCCATTTTCAAGCTTTCTGTACAGAACTTCATCCATTTCAGAGGTCAAGAGTTTATTTGGCAAAACATTTGTTTAAAATCCAGTTTTCCAGGAAATGGTTTGCTAAATATATCTCTCTTGCTTTTCCCCTATACCTGCCCACATTGTAAGGCATAATTATGTGGCTGCAACTGCTTCTTGTAGCCCTACATTCGATCCTATTTTGAGACAACTACATGTGGATGCCACATTCTTTCTGCATATGTTATAGCACCCAAGTGGTAGCCCTTCCATCCAACCCTCTATGTCAGCTGTGATCATAGGGTGGCTTTCAGATGGCCAAATGGGATGCTAAAAGTTGTTTTGCCTGATCCTCCTGTATTGAAAGTAATCCAGGTCTCCAAGTCAGAGACCCAAAACAGAGCTAGCATAATTTTGAAAAATCAGAGGCTGAGGGATTCTTTTACAGGCCCATGAGCATGCTGGAAAAATTTTTATATTTATGTACAAAAAGTATTAGTTGCTTCCACATTCCAGCTTGACTCAAATGATTGTCCTTCAAGAGTAAAAATGAAAGTGTCTAAGTGCAGGATAGTTTGACAGAGGACTCAGAACAGATGCAAAAATGCACTGACGGGTGGAGTTTTGCCTGAGGAAGCTCTTAAGGCTGCATGCATCTTGCATATCTGATGGATGCTGAGAAATCCCACAGGAACTTCGAAAGGAGAGCAGCAGCCTGCATAATCTCTCCCCAGCTGCATACTGGCTGTACAGGACCAACAAGAGCCCTCACACCCTGTCCCACAGACTGCTCTGAGGCCCTGTTAACAGTCCCTCAACAATTAGGTAGATACTGGTTTCCTTTTAGTGAAAATGGGAGAAAAGATGATTGATTTGCAGTGAATTTAGAAAGAGCTCATGTGTTTCCAGCTTTGCTGCCTGAAATTTAAACTCACACATTTAAAGAAATCTGATAGAGCTTGCAGTTCAGTTTAGAGAATTTTCTGCCATCACTTTGAAAATTAGAGGGACCCGTAATAGCTTTTAATAATCTAGGTATGCATAGAAAAGGTGTGATACAGCTAAGCACCCATGCCATGCTGGCCCAGGTGGATGAGATGGGGCCGTGAGCAAATGGGGAGTGGCATCCGGGAGCAGGGTGGGTGGGCAGGAATGGGATCATGGGGCAGTTATAGTGTGGAGCTGGGGCCTGGGGCAGTTGCGATCTCCCACCATCCCTGTGATAAGCACCAGTTCTGTGGGAAGGGGCTGGCTGCTGCCTGTGGAACCAACACCCATCACAAAGATGTATGGGGAGTGGATCATGGCTCTGCCCTGGGCACCTGCCCTGCATTGTCACTGCCCCAGAATCCCAACACTGGTCCCTGCCCATCCTGCTTCCGGATCCTCCTGCCCAGACGTGCCTTGCCCATGGGTATCCCAGGCAGGTCTCCATGGAGACACCCGCACACCCATTTTGTCCCATGCCCCCAGTGGTAGGTGCAGGGCAGATGGGCCAGGGTGCCCAGGCAGTGGGGCCAGGTTTAGCAGAGGCAGACTGGCAGCAGCAGCCAGGCAGAGTAAGCCACCACTGGTGGGGCTGCCAGGAAGCCGAGTCCAGTCACTGCAGTACTCTGCCATGTACCCGGCGGCATTGGGACCAACCACATGCACCACGACGTGGGCTGCCCCGTGCCTGGGCTGGACAGGGCCAAGGGACCCACCACGAGCTGGATAGAATTCCTGGGGATGGATTTGGCTTATGGGCCAGGCCATATTTTGCCCATCCCTGGTCTATAAGGTACCACACTGATCTGTTTTCTGCCTAAAGGGAGGCAGGACAGAGGCGTCAAAGAAATGTCATTATGGAAATGACACAAAGATAGAGCTTGTTAGGTTGTGATAAAAATAGGTGATGAAGGAAAACCTAAATCAATGCTGTTTTGGAAACCAAGTGGGAGAAAGAAAAAAGGCCCAAAGAGACATGTAAGAGGTCAATAGAGAGAAATGACAGGATTTGGAACAGGATAGAGTTAGAGAAAAAAGGCAGCTGTCAGAACAATGAAGACCCTTTCATGCAGGTTTCATATGGCACATGGCATGGACGATACTAAAAAATCCAGGTTTAAATACATGATCATTTACCACTTTTTCACAGAATGGATGTTGCTTACTCAATGAACAGCTATTTTATCCTTGTCGTTTAATGTATGGTTACAGATCTTTTCAGCACACTGTTCCAAACTTATTCAGAAGATAGAATCATTAGTTTCCTTATGGGCTCCTCAGTGCTGCATATCACTACAATATCTGACTGCTTTTCAAACATTAATTGTATTTTCATAACACCCCTATGGGAGAAAGAGGTGGTCTTATCCCCAGTTTACAGATAAGGATCTGAGACAGATAACTTAATGTCAAAGTATCTATTTATTAATTTTGCATGCAATTTGAGACAACTTTGATCTGATTTTTGAGAGTATTTGGTGTTATGTAGCACGTTGTGTATGCTAGAGGCACAGATCCCACTGAGTCCATTTGTAATTGTCAGGGCTCAGAACTTCTCCAACTCAGATTATTAGTCTTAAATTAGACATCAAGTTAAGATAAACATACAGCTAGTGACTACTAATTAGGCAACCTTAGTTCTGGCATTCCTCACATTTGAATGCATGATTTTGCAACACTGAAAATGTTTTTAAGCATACTTTTTGTGTGTAGCAACCTGAACTGAAATGAAACACCTACATTTCAGCATGTGTCATCATAGCGATGCTTTTACAATTTATCAGCAGAGTTGGAAGCTTTAGATTTACCTTCTGCCTCTGACACTTTAATGGATTGATAGCAGTAATAAGTTGCTATCATGTGAACTAGTACTAGGCATGAGTAAGATGTATTTTGTCAGTTGGTTTCATTAATTACTGCTGACAAGAGGATCAGTAAGGCTAGGCTCTGGCAGTGAGTATGTTTTCCTTATCTTGACTCCCCTTGCTCCATCCTTTCTAACCTATCTCTGTCCTAATCTTATCTTTCCCCATCTCAGGCTTCTCATTGCAGTCCTGTTTTCCTTACTAAATTCATCCCAGTCACAGACTTCTGATTCCAGTCCAAGTCTTCAACCCAGGCTCCTAATCCCAGTGTATTTCCCTAGCATGTCCCTATATTTGGCAAGTATCTTACTCTTCCTTTTGAATGTGAATCAGATGGCTTCTTTACAGTGTCTAGATGCCTGCTGGGGGTGCAGGGCAGATCACAAGAGAGCCCAGAGAAATGTTCTGTTCTCAGTTCTGGTACCTGTCTTCAACCCAGCCCAAGGAGCCATTGCAGGGATAGCATGACCTTACTCCTATAACTCTAAAAAGGAACGGGGAGACTCAGCTGATCTGTGCAATAGTAAACATTTAGGTCCCTGCCAGATATGCAGGTGAAGGAGTGTTAGGTTGTGATGTGCAACCCACACAATTGTGCCTCCTGCCATGCCACATGTGCATGGCAGATGTGACTTGGATCAAGCATCAGATCCCATCATGCCTTATTGTTGGTGTAGAGGAAGCCTTGGATCATTTCCCAGCAAGTAGCAAGCTCCCATGCCTGAAAGCTTCCTCAGCTGATAGTGCCCCAACCACATGGGTGCACCTGGCATGTGTAATGGCATGTTGGGAATCAGCCATAAAGTTATTCCACATTTTTTGTGGAATAAGTTTGTGGCTTATTCCTAGTTTTATGGTGCCATTAATTGATTTAACGTGGCCAGGTTACAACTTAAGGCATGATTAACTGGGTAATCATGTTTTAAGTGTAACTTGTGATAGGACCAATGGCTCTGCCACATATAAGAGCTGTGAGAGAATGGAGCGTGTTCGGACACTGGGGATGTTGTACTGTCATCATACAGAGGAGTGCTGAGAGGCTCAAGCATGCAGGGACAGAGCATGGCATCTTCAGAGCTATTGGCAGTTAAGCTGTATCCCAGGGGTGGGCAAAAGGTGGCCCACCAAGCTATTCTTTCTGGCCCACAGGGCCCCTAAAAATTTAGAAAATTAATATTTATCTGCCCCGGCTGCCTGTCATGTGGCCCTCAATGGCTTGTCCAAACTCAGTAAGCAGCCCTCTGCCCAAAATAATTGCCCGCCCCTGCTCTATCTGGTACTCTGGGGGCATGTGCAAGATGCAGTTTTTCAGAGATTCCTTAACTTTGACAAGATTATCAGAGTCAACAAGACAAGCATCCCAGACAGTAGGTGCTTGCTTTTTCCTGTGGTAGCTTCTGGTCCTCACTCCAGAGCTATTCAAAGTCCAGGTTGCCAAAATAGGTTCAACCCTGCAAAACACATTGGTTTTCTTGGCCTTATTTGCAAACAAGGGCCCAACCATTTTGGGCTTCAATTTTAAAAGAAGGCAACCCGGGACAGTCACTGCTGGGCAAAGTTTCAGCCCAAATGTTTAAAGTTCAGCAAAGCTCTGGCTCAAAACCAGGGTCCAGTTGGAAGCACTAAGCCAGAAGCTGGTGACCTTTTTAAACTTGGACTGGATTGAACAGACGGCCCTGGTTTGACCCGACCGGCTGGGGGGCTATCAGTGGCAGGGGGCCGGCTCAGCGTGTGCTGCTTCCCCCGAGCCCGTGGCCGCCGCAGCTGAGGGGTCAGGTGCGGAACGCAGGCAAAGCCCTAGGGCTCGGAGGTGGGATGCAGGCCGGGAGCTGCAGGGCCCGCCCCGACCGCGCTCCCCATCCGGCCCGCGCTACTGATCACGCCACAGCCCCGAGTCTTGCTGCGAGTGGCGGGTACGAAACAACGTCTCCACACATCCCAGAGTCTCCAGGCAAAACAGCGCAGCAGGCACGCCCATAGTCACGTACCGGGGCGCATCGCGATGTCGTGACGTCATAGATCCCGTGGTGCGACGTCACAGCTTCTGAGCTGAGCCTCCAGCTTCTGGCATGCAGCACGGCCTCCTCGTGACGAGCGTGTAGGCGGGGAGTACACTTCCCCACCCCATCGGGCGGGACTACAGCTCCCAGCATGCGTCGCGTGGCGCCGTGGTCTGTGCTGGGCGGTGCACGCGCGCGGGGGCTGCCGGGAGGCGTAGTAGCAGGGGCCGCCAGCTCTTGCACTGGCGCGGCGAGAGGGGCGGCGGCGGAGGTGGAGAGCAGCCGTTGCGGGGTCTGGGTTTGCGTGTGGCAGGCCGAGTCCGCTGGTGCCCAGGCCTGCCCGGCCTCCGGTCCCCGCCTGCGCGTCGCTGCTGCGAGCGGCCCAGCCATGGCGGGGCTGCTGGGGAAGCTGTTCGACATCGGGCCTGGCGGGAAGGGCGCCGGCAAGGGCCCGTCCCCGCAGGAGGCGATCCAGCGGCTGCGCGACACCGAGGAGATGCTCAGCAAGAAGCAGGAGTTCCTGGAGAAGAAGATTGAGCACGAGCTGGCGGCAGCCCGCAAGCATGGCACCAAGAACAAGCGCGGTGAGGGCCGGGACTGGGTGCTCTGTGCTGGCCCCGCCCGGCCTAGCCGCGGCGCTGAGGTGCCGCCTGGGCTGACCGGCGGCGTGACGGGGTGGTGTCAGGCCGCCTGGTGAGGGAGACGCTGGGTTGTGGCGGAGCTCTGCTCCCAGCCCAGCAGCGCTGCCGGGAGAGCAGCTGGCCCAGTTTTGGGGGCTCTGCCTGCCCCTGGATCCTGGCTTGCCCCTTTGAGGCCGGCCAGGAGCAGAGCCTGGCTGTGGCCTGGCTAGTTCACAGGTTTCTTCGTCTTTCCGCCCTCTGATCAGCCATGCTGTGGTCGGAGAAGCTGCCACACGGAGGTCCCTGTGGAGAGTTTTCCTTGCCCACACTGCCCACTGTGCTGGGGGCCATCGGCACAGAGATCATCTCCGTTTACCCAAGCGTGCTGGCAGCACCCGGCTGCATGGAGTGAATGGGAATGATATACTTCTGTATCCCTGCAGTCCTGGCCTCGGTTGGGAGACTCGTTGCTGACAGAAACCATCAGCTGTGGGTCTCCCTGCACTTGATGCTGGAAATTTGTTATTTGCTGCTGGGGACAGGACAAATCTGTCTGGTTTCCATGAGCAGAGAGGGGTGCTTCAAGTGGAAGGCAAGATAGGTTTGCACCTTATAGACAAACTTAGTCATTTATGATTTAGTTAGTCTATAAGGGGTAAAGCTGCCCTGCTTTTGTTTTCATGCCATGGGACTTATTTATGATAGGTGAGCTGCAAACTGATTTGTCTGAAAGCGTAAGTGTTCTTTTCCCTTGTAAAAGCAGATGCTATATCTTCAATTCCATGATCTAATGGTTGTGAAACTGATTGATTAATTCTCAAATTCAGGCTCAGTCCTGGCTTTGGCTCTGACTTGATATGTGACAGGTAACATTACTTTTTTTATTTCTTTGTTTTTCTGTCTGGAAAACGGTGATAGAAATAGGATGATAACCATATGAAACTGTTGGCCATTGTGGAGCAATTTGAGATCCTTGGAAAGGGGGTGTGTGTGTGTGTGTGTGTGTGTGTGTGTGTGTGTGTGTGTGTG